GAAACCAAGAGAGAGGAAGGGGCTGGGATCCTGGAATACCTTTCAAGGGATCCCAAGGGACCCAGCTTCCTTACCCTTAGGCCCTACCATGTGAACCTCACACCACCAGCTGGGGCCAACCCTTTGGTCTCCAAGGCATTAGGGAACATTCTAGGTCCAAACTTGGGGTGAGCAAAGCTGCCTGAAGATTAGGATGGAAAAGCTGGGGGGTAGGAGCCCCCAGTCTGCGCCTGAGGTCCTCCCTGCCCTTGGCTGCCTGCTCAGACCCCCAGGAAAGACCTCGAGATTTCCAGCAGGAGATTACAGCAGCCGTTTCAGTTCTGCCCCTGCAGAGAGGACAGACTTTGAAGTCTCCGATTACCCAAGTTCACTTAGAGCAAATAGGACTCTTAGGCAGAACTCTCAGAATCCGGAGTCCCCACAATGTATCATTCATAGCATCCAGCGACCAATAAAAAAATCATCCAACTTGCAAAGAAGCAGGAGAAAGTGAGTCATGCTCAGGAAGAAACAGAGTCTATAGATGCTGTCCTTAAGATGACCCAGATGTGGCAATTATCAGCTGTCTTACTCAGGGTTCTCCAGGGAAACAAGTCCAGGAGGTACAGATACAGAAGAGGGGATTTATTATGGGAACTGGCTTATGCAATTGCAGAAGCCCCGAAGCCCCCTGAGCCCCTGGCTATGCTGCCTATGAGCGAGTGGGAGTCCCAGGAAAGTCAGCAGTGAGATCCAGTCTGAGTCCACAGGGCTGAGAACCCAGGGACAGTGTTGTAACTCCCAGCCCAAGGCTGGAGACCTGAGATCTAGTGGGAATGGGGTCAGGGTGTTGGTGGATGTCCTGGAACCCAAGGGCCCAAGAATAAGGAGTTCCAAAGTCCAGGGCGGGAAGAAATGACCACCCTAGCTCTGGAAGAGAGTGAACATCTGCCCTTCTGTCTCTGGCCCCAGGTGGGCTGGATGCGGCCCACACCCTGGGGTGAGCAGGCTCCATTCCCCACTTTGCGGTTCAGACAGCCCCTGTGGAAACACTCAGACTCACCCAGAAAGAGTGTTTGCCAGTTATCCAGGCACCCTCAGCCCAGCTGGTTGACAGAAAAGTAACCATCACAGCAGATTTATAAATATGGCCAAGGACTTACAAGAAAATAGGACAAATGAACAGATGGGGAGACACAGTGGAGAAATACAAATTATTTAAAAACCACCCGAGGAAACTAGAGGTGAGAGGCATGCTGCCTGAAGTGAGCAATCGCTGGATCAGCTTGTTCAAGACTTGCAGATGGCAGAAGGAGGAGTCATTCAACTTGAAGATAGCTCCATGGGAGTTACACACTTTAAATAACAGAGAAGAAGCACATGCCTCTAATCCCAGCTTTCAGGAAGGCTGAGGCAGGAAGATCACAAGTTCAAGACCAGCCTGGGCAACTTAGTGAGTTAGCAAAACCCCATCTCGAAACTAAAAATAAAAGTATTCAGCCTTCAACATAGTGTAACACACAAACCAGGACGAATTTGTGCTAATCAGTATCAAGTAGTCTAAAACAAGTATGTTGTGTGTGCCAGAAGAAAGAGTGAAGGAGGTAAGGAGGAAAAAAAAACTCAATAAAAAGACCAATTAATAGTTCCTAAAGCCTTCAGGATAAAACTACAAAACAGTACCTTGACTGAGACTGAGTGGAAGTGTATACTATGTTCATGGATTGGTAGTGATAGTAAAATTCAGTTCTCCACAGACTGCTGATTCAGTCCACTTCCTGTGGTGAGCTCAGTAGACTTTGGTTTTTTCAGAAATTGATAAAATGATTATCTAAAGTTTATGTGAAAATGCAGAAGGCCTTAAAATAGTGTACACAATCTCGTAAAGAACATGGCTAGAGGATTTATGCCACCTGATCTCAAGACTTTCTGTAAACTAAAAAACAGTGGTGCTTACATGAGGGTTGATAGATAAATGGATTGGTGGAATAGAAACTGTAGTGAGTTCCAGATACATTCATGTGTGGTCAGTTGGGTTTTGTCCGAGATATCCAAGAAGCCTAGAGGGAAGAAGAAAGTTTTTGACAAGTTATCGCGGAACACCTGGGTATTCCCGTGGGAAAAAGTGTGCACCCCCTACCTCACGCCGTGTGCAGAGTTAATTTGAGATGAACCAAAGCCCCAAACATAAACTCTGAAAGTACACGGCTCTGAGAAGAAAATGCAAGATAAAAATCTTTTGTGATTTAAAAGAAAACAAAGATTTTTAACCAAGACAAGATTTTGTAGTTAGAACTCAGGACAGAGTGAAAGGAAGTTTTGATAAACCAGACTTCATGAAATTATAAATGAATGCTTACCAAGACACGTGAAGAAAATGAATCACCATGCTAGAGCCAGCAGGAGAGAAGAAACACAAAACCTACACAACAAAGTGCTTGGCCCACAGTATCAAAAAACTCCTAGAATTCAATAAGAAAGAAACCATTCCCGACTTTTAGAGAAGGACAGAAGTCTCAGATAGATCTGTCGTGAAGGAAGCTGCACAGGCAGTATGTGGAAAAAATCTTCAGCATCTCTGGTCCTCAGGAAAACTAAAAATAAAACCACAACAGTGTTCCACCGAGAACCCACTCCAGTGGCTGAATGAAAAGGACCGGCAGTGACAGGGACCAAAGAGGACACGGAGCCTCTGGAACTTGCGTGCACTGTGGGAGGGGAGGCAGATGCTGCAGCCACTTGAGGAAAGCACTGGGAAGTTGCCAGTTCTGGTCCTGGGGGATGCTGTTTCCACAGGAAGTGATAGCGTTTGTCCCCACCCGTGTGTGCACACGTGCCCACGCACGCATGCACATGCACCACGTGTACACGCACATGCACATGCAAGACTTGAATGCTCATACAGTGGCTTTACGCACAGTCACCCTACTTGGAAGTGGAGAACCAGTCCCAAACCGTTCCTCCGATGTCTTGGTCCTCAGCAACATGGAGGAGCAGCCACTGGCGCAGGCAACTGCACGTTTAGGGTCTCAGAACCCACACAGTGGAGAAGACAGATGCACTACAGGAGTGTGGCACGATGCCACTGGCCGTGTCCACAAGGCAAAGTCACTGCGTGGTGAAGATCGTCCAGGAAGGAGCTGACAGGGAGGGGGGAGGCCTCGGGGGAAGGGAGAACTTCCGGGAGATGAGAACGCCTGCCCTGCACGGTGGGTCACACAGGCCACGCTGTCTTGTCTTCATAAACCTCTGTAGAAGTGCTGTGGAAACATGTCTGGCACCCTGAGGGTGCTTGCATTTGTGGGTGCCTGAGGGGTGCAGGTGTGTACCAGACACGGAGTCAGCCTGGCAGAGGCCGCTGGGCAGGGGCCTGGCTGCTGGGCACCTTGACCCGCCCAGCGCCCTCCCTGGCCTTGAACTCAGAAACAAATTGTCCGAGAGCTATCTATCCTCCTAAGTCCTCCTCTTGCCTCAGTTCCACAGAATCAGAATTCCTGAGGGAGGTGCAAGGTTTGGGAGGCTGGCACCACTGAGGAGTCTGGCTCCCAAAGCCTGGCAGGCAGCATGGTGGGCTGTGCCCTTGGGGGCAGCATCTAGAGGCAGGAAAGGTGACTTACAGCATCACAAGTGACAGTTCCCAGGGCAGTTGCCAAACCTGCCTGGGGGTGGATCTTGCGACACCACTGTACCCCTCTGTGGGTTCCTGGGGGCCGCACCCCAGACCATGGGCTCTGCGATGGAAGCTGATGTGCACCCCACTGTCAACCCCCAGGACGGGGCCCCTTGACCCCACCTGTGGGTCGTTTCCCAGGCTAACGACGGTGTCAAAGCGCCTGATGCAGGCACTGGCACGTGAAGGGCTGGGGGCGTGGCTGGGCAGCGCTTCCCGTCTGCCACTGCCCCTGCTGGCTCTGTCCCCTGGCCAGGTCCCAGCCCCATACGTGGAGTGCTGCAGGTGGTGCAGCGTGGTTGTCCCGTTGCACCTCAGTCCTCCCATCCTGCAGTGCCCAGGAGACCCTGCTGGTGCAGCGAGCCCTTCCTGGTGAATGCAGCATGCTCCTCCTCCGGAGTCCATCTTCGGTGATCTGACCCAAACCCACCGGAGGATGTAGTGTTGTGTCCCAGGCCGAGGTCTGGGCGGGGCTGGGGCATCTGCGTGTGGGGGCCCTTGGGGACCCCTGCCGTGTGTTTGTGTTCCTGCTCTTCTCCATTCCTCCCTGGTCCTGGTGGCAGGTCACAGAGGACAGTATTTCTCTTGGCCATGCCTTCCGGAAGTGACTGACCTGGCCCTACGCTGAGCCAAGCTGTATGACCAGCCTCACCTTGCAGAGGGCACGAGGGCCAGCCTGAGCCACCACACTGCCTGGCCCTGGTCCTCGGGATGGGTGTCCCGAGTGGGGCAGGACAGTGCTAGCTGGATTGGGCCATCAGTTGCTGAGCAGTGCCATGGGCCAGGTGTGGGATCCCAGGGAAGGAGGGGGCTGCCTGGTCCCGGGGCAGGTCACTCCCAGGACTGGCAAGGTGCCCGGGGCCCTGCGCTGGGCACCTGAAGCCCAGGATGGAAGGAGTCGGTCATGCACCAGGCAGGGTCCCATAGGCCTCCAGCAGGCAATGGCCGTGACCTCAGCCCTGCAGGCAGAGGGGAGCCTGAGGGACTCCCACCCCAGCCATGAGTACTAAGAGCTCTCATGCGTCGCAACCTAGGCAAGACCTCCCTGGGGCCAGAGGGGAGGCGCAGCCTGGACCCTGTGTCCCGTTGCCTGTGGCCCTACGCCCTTCAGCACCCCTGGGCCTCAGGATGGTGCGGGCCCCAGGCTGAGCCAGCACTCGGGGCTCTGGTCGGAGGCAGGAGTGGAGATTCTGGGGAAGCAGGGGTCTTGCTGGCCCTGGCGACTGGGGCAGGTCCCAGATGGTGGCCTCCCCGAGTGCCCCCGTAGGCCAGGAGCCAAGGCTGAGGCGGGCGAGCCTGCTGGAGTGGCCCCTGGGCTGCGGCCCCTTCAGCTCACCTGCTCCCCCTGCAGTGAACATGACCTGGGCGAGGACATCTACGACTGCGTCCCATGCGAGGACGAGGGGGACGACATCTACGAGGACATCATCAAGGTGGAGGTGCAGCAGCCCATGGTGAGCCGACCCTGTTTCCGCTGGACGTGGGCCCCCACCCCTCTGTGCAGAGGGACCCCCGCGGTGTGCCTGGGCCTTCTCGTCCCCATGGGGCTCCCCTCAGAGTGTCCCTGCCTGGATGTGGCCCGATGTCCTCCAGGCAGGCTGCTGTGGAACATTCCTTTAAAGGTGCAGGGTTCGAGTCCCGCCTGAAGCAGTTGCTATGCCCCCACAACACTGCATGGCTCATTCTGCCCCTTTGTTTGGGGCACGAAGAGCCCAGCGTGGGCTCAATTAGCCAGCTGCGCCTTTTGTGCTGTAAGGATATTTATTTCTGCACAGGCCTTGTATAGTAATCTCTCGGATGCCAGCTTGCTTGGTGTGGGTTTATTGCCAACAACTACTTTGGGGAGGTGGGTCCGGGAGGCTGTCCGTGGGGGGACACAAGCCCCTCGGGCCCCCAAGCTCCCAGGGGTTGAGTGTGATGTCCTTGCCAACAGTGGCGGCTTTGATCCGTTCGCATTCCCTGAAGACATGGGAAATTTCTTGAAAAGCCAATAGTATTTTCCGTCTGTGCTGAGGGGATCACCAGCGGGTGGAGGAACAGGAAGCTGGGGAGACTCGGGCAGAGCGGAGGGCCTGAGGGGTCTGTCCACCCCACAGCCTCCCCCCTAGAGTGGGGGTCTCGTTTTGCCCTGAAAGGTCTGAAGACTCCCTCTCTGGAGAGCCTGGGGGCCCTACTCCTACGGGGGTCTCTGCTCCCCAGTCCTCTTTCTTGGGTGGTCTCTGGGGTGCTGGAGGACCCCTCCCCCAAGCTACTCCCCAAGGGCCTGCAGGACCCCACAAGCCTTTGATAGAACTTCAGCTCAGGGATGGCACTGGGCAGTCGATAAGCCCTGGTCAATGGGGGCCCGGAAGCCAGGTGTCCTGTGGGTGACATGAGACACAGGGGCGGTGGCTTCAGCGGAATTTGGGGTATCCTCACCCCCAGGCTGTGCATGCTTTCTCAGAGACCCCCAACCGTGCCTGGCCAGACTGTGGGGTGCTCCTGGGGGCCACTGCTGTCCCTGGTCCCGACGCACAGGCAGAGGACATAGGGGATTTGTCCAGCCTGCCAGGGTGGGGACTGGCGCTCCCCTGCCTGGACTGGCTGGGTCCTGGGGTCCAGGGCGCCCAGCCTTTCCTGGCCACCTGGGCGGGGGCCTCTGCTCCCTGCCAGGGTCCCGCAAGGTAAACTGCTGGTTCTGTCATTCCTTGTCGCGGCTGAATCCGCCTGAATGGTCTGAGTACAAGGTCACATGGAGGACAGAGCCAGGGTGGCAGGGGCTGTGTCCCAGGCAAGAGGCCCAGGAAGCCCTGTCCCGGCAGCCCGGTGGGCTCACCTGGGATGGGCCTGAGGGGACAGTGGCCTCGCTGATGTTCGCTCTCTTTGTCCCCCACGCTCTCAGATCAGGTACATGCAGGTAAGGGGCTGCAAGAGGCCCGAAACACGTCTGCTGCCCCCTCCAGGAGGCCACAGACCCCTCAGAGCAAACATGGGGCACCGTTCCTGGGGGCCACTGTCAGGTGCCCGGGGTGGCAGGGGTCGTGGGCCTCAGCAGCCCCCACAAAGCAGATTGCTTGGGAGCTGGGGCCCAGCACGGGGGCCTTGGGGTGTTTCCTGGAGGATGGCACTGGGCGGAGGCTGGGCACACTTTGCAGTACTGCTTGGCTGCACCTTTTGGGTGGCAAGATCCTAAGGAGAGTCCTGGGGAAGACCACACACCCCGCTGTGTCCCGGCAACCTTGTAGGAAGCCAGCACAGTGGTGGGCGAGGGGCCTGGGGTGGCCAGCGCTGCCTGCTGGGTGGGGCCGCTGGACTCTGCCTGTGTGCTGGGGGCTCCACCCCGGGGGAGCGGGAGCCTGGATCCCAGAAGCCTCCTACTTTCCTTAGCATCACATTTCTGCCCCTCCTGACACCTCAGTTTCCTCAACTGCAAAACAATGGGAAGGGACTGGGTCCCCCACCATCTTACACATGGTGACCTCTCAGCCCCCCGGGAGGCCCCTGTTGGGGGGACGGGAGGCTGGGGCTTTGAGGTCCTGACAGACAGGTGGTGGCTGGGCAGGGTAGCCCTGGGCTCACATCTTGTGTCCTCACCAGAAAATGGGCATGACCGAGGATGACAAGAGGAGCTGCTGCCTGCTGGAGATTCAGGAGACCGAGGCCAAGTACTACCGGACCCTGGAGGACATCGAGAAGGTGCGGGGGCTTTGGGTATAGGGAATGGCAGCCGGTGTCCCGGGGCGTGCGAATGCCAGGCCCAGAATCAGGGCAGCTACAGCGGGAGAGCGGGCTGAGCGCCCCTTGGCCTCGCCAGTGGGCACCTGCACGCCGAGAGGGCACCGCACTGGCTTCCCACTGCAGCCCTGCCCCACCGCACTGTCTCCTCTCCTCTTTGATCCTGGTGGTCACTGTGGCTCCCACCCCTAGCACGTGCTGGGCCAGGCCCCACGCCACACATCTGTCTGTGCCCCTGTCTGGGGCAGTTCCCCGCTGTGTGCTCAGGCTGCCCCTGGGTCCAGATGCAGTGGCCGCACTGGATGGCCAGGGCATCCCGTACTGGGATGTGGCCAGGCCACAGGATGTGGGTGCAGGCTCTGAGCTCTCCTGAGCGGCCCCGTCACCTGCCCCAAGCACCCAGCCTCCAGTGCTTGCAGGGTGCAAAGACCGACGCTGTTTCTAGGCTAGAGCCCGCCTGGCTGCCCGGGGGCGGCAGAGTGGAGTGTGGAGTCCGGCGCGCTAGGATGGAGACACCTAGTGGGGCATGGGCAGCGTCCAGCCCGGAGTCCTGGGCCCTGTCCTGCTGCCCGTGCCTGTGCTCATCCCCCTTGTCCTGCAGTCCCTGAGTGCCTCGCCTGGGCATAGTGACCGTGGCCTTGGCAGTAGAGGGTGGCAGTGTGGGCTTCTGTCTTACAGAACTACATGGGCCCCCTGCGGCTGGTGCTGAGCCCGGTGGACATGGCGACCGTCTTCATCAACCTGGAGGTGAGCGTCCGGCCCTGCCTCTGCTCATGGCACCCACCGAGCTGCCATCCCTGGTGACCCCAGAGAGCTGTGGCACTGGGCCACGGCTGCCAGGTCCGGGGAGAGCAGCGCCTCTGTGGGGGCTCTGGCTTTGGAGATGGCAGGGAGGTTTGTGGCTCTGCCAGAGAGGAAGTTTCCCTGCCTCTGCCCCACTCCTAAGGAGTTAGCGATGTCCCCGCCCTGCAGTGGCCCCTTGAGCCTGCGCGGTGGAGTGGAGTGGGGTGGTGGAGGCAGCAGCTCCTTCACTCCTTGGCAGAGTCTGGCCGTGGTGTAAGGGCGACCCCTGCATGGGTACCCCCTTGTCTCAGGTGGGCGGCAGCACACGGGCACGTGGCTCGCTTCCTCCGGGAACCTGCCGCTCTGGCCCCTGCTGGCTTCCTGTCGCCTTTAGGGGCTCCAGGGCCTGCTGTCTCAGTCGAGGCTCACCCAGACCCCAGAGCTTCCCGTCCGCCCTCTGTGCCTGACCTGCTGTGAGCCATGGTCAGGACTGATGACTGCAGACAGGAAGGAAGCTGGGGAGGGAGAGGGAGCCCGGGGATGCCCCCTGGTGGTCATCTGCTGAAACGTGCACCGGCTGCCCAGAGCCCTGGGCTCCATGAGCAGCAGTGAGGGCACAGGACACAGCGCTCTGCCTTCTCTGCCCCCACTGGCTCTGGAGCCTGTCCTGGGCTGCAACATCCCTGGTGGCTGGTGTGGCCTGTGAGCAGCTGCCCTCCTGGCCCACTCCCCATGCTTCCCTGCTGCAGAGCCTTCTGTCCAAGGGGCGCTGGCACCCACAGGGTCAGGGTGCAGCCCGGCATCTGCCGCCCTTGAGGCCCCCAGGGCATCTGGAGGGCCATGGCGGGCGCCCGGTGATGCTGACTGCTCTTCCCCACACAGGACCTCATCAAGGTGCACCACAGCTTCCTGCGGGCCATCGACATGTCCATGATGGCAGGGGGTGGCACCCTGGCCAAGGTCTTCCTGGAGTTCAAGGAGAGGTGAGTGCTGGGCGCTCGGGGCAGGTGTGTCCTCTGGGCCAGACATGCGGGTGGGTGGAGTGACCGTGCAGAGTCACCTTCCGGCATGGCCTGGACCAGAGGTGGCTGTCGCTCCCATCCCTGGGGTGTAGTACCGGACGCTCCCAGCTTAGGAGCAGAGCGGAGAGGTTCATGTGGGCTCATGTTTATAAGTTTCAGTCCTTGCATGCTGGGCAGCATGCAGGAGGGCCTGGGTGAGGAGCCGCTCACAGCATGGCAGTTGGGAAGCAGAGAAGGGAGGAGCCAGGAGGGAGACGAACCCTTCCAGGCCACGCCCCCCATGAACCCTCTTCCCATTAGGCCCCGCCTCCTAGCATCAAGTCAGCTGTGACGCCCCGTGACCCAGTCACCTTCCGAGCACAAGGCTTCAGGGCCAAGTTAGATCAGGAGCTTAAGAGGAGGGGACTCTCAGGCCCCCAAAGCCCCTCTGCCTCTCTTGCTCCTCCCATCTTGGTGGCTGGCATTGTGCCATCGAAGTGCACCCGCTCTCTACCCCTTGTCTGCTGAAGCCTTGGGCCTGCATGCCCCGAGGAGTGTGGAACAGCTGCGGGAGCCCACAGAGCCTCTGGCCTGGCCGTGGTGCTTTCTGGGGGGCCGTGGATGCTACACCTGCCCCCAGAGACCCCCTCAGTGGGGAGGCACAGAGCCATCCCTGGCAGCTCACTTCCAACATGGCAGCCAAGCTCAGGTCTGCAGGGCCTGCCGGGGAGTCCCTGGGGATCCACGCAGCCTGTGGGTCTGTGGCCAGGGCCCCCGGCGAGGAGCAGCAGTGTGGGGACTCTGGATGGGGCGGGACCCCTTTCCCCGACTCGACTGCGCACCTTGGGGCTCTCCCCAGTCTCCCTCCTTGGGGCCTGGTGTCATGGTTGGGGCAGGGCATGGTGGCCGAGGACCTGGGCACAGGGTGAGGAGCAGCTGGTCGGCTTACTTGGCATGGGGCGTGGGTGGCCTGTGGCGTGTGTCTGTCCACGCAGAGACAGCCTGAGTGTGGCAGAGCCTGGTGACGGTGTCGCCAGCCTCTTTCCAGCTTATTTTTCAGCTGGCCACTGGCTCATGACTGTCCCTGTGGGAGGATCCTCTCTGCCCATGCTGGGGCCTCAGTGACCTCTGTTCAGTTCTTGAGGCGGAGAAAATGGCCCCTTTCCCCCGTCTGTCCAGAGGTGGGGGTTCTAATCAAGTTCTATATTAAAATTCTTAATTTAGAAACAGACTCATTTAAGGGGACCCAAGGGTCTGCGTCTCATCCGCTGAGGCTGGAGGCTGGGGGAAGCTTATGCCGTGGCAGTGGGCAGGGAGGCCAGGTGCTTTGCTGCCTCGGGGTCAGCTCCATGTGGGCGGCACTGCCTGAGGGCCTGTCCTCCGCTGTCTTCAACCTCCGCCATCTTAGGCCACAGTGGGGCCTCAGGCTTGGCCGGGCTCCCTGTGGGCTGGCGCAGGAACCCCAGGGAACCCCAGGGTGGAGCCACAGCTCGGCTGGCTGTGTGGGCCTGCATTTTGTCTGGAGCTGGTGAGCACTGGAGACGGACATATCCATTCCCGCCGGCCGACTCCAGGGCTGAGGTCTGGTCCTAAATGCCCAAGGCCTGGGGACAGGAGAACTGCCCAGGTCCCACAGGGCAGACCAGTCACCGCAAGAGCCCAGCCCAGGAAGAGCCCAGCCCGTGGCAGTCTGGCCAGTGACAGGCCCAGTCTGGTCCGAGAGCTGTGCCCGGTGCCCCAAGGGATGCAGCATCTGGGGTGGCAGAGACTGCCCTGGGCCAGGGGAGCCAAGGAAAGGTGTGGCCTTGCATCTGAGCTGCTTCTGTGGCTGGTGTCACCGTCACCTGGTGTCCCTGCCTGGGGAGTGGGTGACAGGTGACCAGGCTGTCAGCGGAGGAGTGGCCACCGTTGTCCTCATGCTCACCAGTACTGTCACCATCGGGGGACTTCTACAGGGGTTCTGTGTCTTGGGGCACGAGGTGGCAGGTGGTCACCCTGAGACCGGAGGGTGCCGAGGTGTGCTTTGTAAGATGTCAGTGCTCAGGGCTGACATGTGGATCCGGTGGGGGACAGGGAAGGACAAAAGGCGTCAGGCAGGCTGGTCAAGCTGGGTCCAACCCCTGGACCCCCTGCGTGCCGTCCCTGCTTGGGGAACCCCTGGGCCCCACAGCATCAACAAGGGCCACTTTCAGAATCCTCCTGGGGAGTCCCCAGCTGCCATGGCACCAGCGTGGGCCCGGTCTGAGGCAGAGGGCAGTGTCCCAAGGCTGCTGGCCCTGATCTCCCCGTGTGGGCCCTTCTGGGGTGGCACAGGGCTGGAGACCAGAGGCCGAGCTGCAGGAGAGGAGTGGGCACTGTCTTGTGCCAAGGACTTGGCTGCCCTGCTCCTGGCCCAGAGTGTGCGGGAGGGGAGCAGGAAGCACAGGGAAGGGGGAGGAGGGGCGGGCAGAGCCGCAGGGCACAGGCTGAACTTGTGGGATTGCACGCATGTGTGCGTGTCTCCACATACCTGTTTGCACTCTCCCTGCTTGCCATGGCCTCGAGCATTGTCACTGCTGGGCTGTGCACTCACGAGTCCCCACGCCATGTGTCCCCTCCCGTAGGCTCCTGATCTACGGTGAGTACTGCAGCCGCATGGAGCACGCCCAGAGCACACTGAACCAGCTGCTGGCCAGCCGAGAGGACTTCAGGCAGAAAGTGGAGGTGAGTGCCCTCGCTGTTCCTGTGCACAGTGAGGATTAGGCTGTGGCTTCTGCTTCCTTCGTGTGTCCCTGTGTGGGGACGGGGCACACTGCCCGGGCTGGAAGACGCTGGAGCTTGGGTGCTGTCAGCAGGGCCCGGTGACTAAGTAGGGCCCTTGGCCCTGCTGCTGCTGACCGTGGGCATCCAGGTGTCATTGCTGGAGGCTTGAGGCCTCTTGCTGTCGCCCGCTGTGCCCATGCCCCACTCTGCCCACCCTTCCCTCATGTGGACCCTCTCCCAGCCCTCTGGGTCCCTGTGTCTGGTGGCTCTCCTGCCTGGTGTCCCTGTCTGGCGTGGACAGCAGAGCATTGCAGCCAGAGCCTGGCTCCAGTGTCAGGGTCACGTCTGGGTATGACCCCAGCCTCAGGAGGCCAGGGCAGATGGCAGGAGGATGCGCAGGGCCCTGTGCTCTGAAGGGGAGCTACCATGGGGCGTTCAGAGTCCCCGAGTGTCACTGCATCCCCAGCGGTGAGAGGTGGCACACCTTGCCCTACGCGGTGATGCCCACCCCTGCCCAGGTGTGGCATGGGCCAGGCCAGGAGCAGGGCCAGCGCCCCTCCCGGGCTCTGGGGATGGCACTCAGTGCCACTTACTGTCCCCTAGGAGTGCACGCTGAAGGTCCAGGATGGCAAGTTCAAGCTGCAGGACCTGCTGGTGGTGCCCATGCAGCGTGTGCTGAAGTACCACCTGTTGCTCAAGGTGAGCCGCCTGTGCCGCTCCACACCAGCTGCAGCCTGCGGGCGGCCCGTGCATGTGTCTGCACACGGCACAGTACTCACAGCTGCTCAGCAACCCCAGCAAGTGCTGTCGCAGTCATGCGCAAGGGGAAAGTAGTATTAAAACCAGGAAGAGGCTAGGAAAAGGGAAGCAGACAGAAATATCTTCAGGCCAGGACTGAGAGAGCACTGTGGTGAATCCTTTAGGCACTGGTGAGCTTCCTTGTAGCCAGAGAAAATGGAAAGAGGAAAGATGGGCGGGGTAGGGAAGGTGGGTCATGAATCAAACAGTGACCTTAGCGCAGCCGGCCGCTTTTGGTGGCCCTGGCGTTCCTCCCCACAGTGACCCCTCCCATTATCCACCAGATTAGGGAGCAGCCTCCTCGGTGCGGGGTGCCCCGTAGGAGGCTCACTGTCTGCGGGAGTTAGACAGCTGGGCGGTGGGCAGGGGTGACTCTGTCCCCAGGACTTTGCTTTGCACACACCTATGCCAGGTGGGGGCGAGGGTTACCCCAAGGGGTAACTGGGACTCCCTGTCCCCCTCAGGAGCTCCTGAGCCATTCTACTGACCGGCCAGAGCGGCAGCAGCTCAAAGAAGCACTGGAAGCCATGCAGGTGTGTGGGTAAACTGAGGCAGGGGGCTCCCAAGCCAGAGTGGCACCTAGCACCCCACGCCCGTGTTCCTGGAACTGAAATGAGCTCACTACATAGCGCAGTAGTGGCCGCAGATGCTTCGCTGGGAGGGCACGTGCCAGGCAGGCCGCAGGGTGACACCTGTGGCGGAGGAGCTGCAGGCTGGGTTCCCACCCTGGGGTCCCCATCCCGAGCCCCACCTGTGATTGTTGAGCACCTTGAGCCTTAGCTTCTGTGTTCCCATTCGCACAATGCAGGAAGTTGCGCCCGCAGCTGGCGTGCGTCCCGCTGTCTGTGAGCCTGGCCTCCCCTAGGGACAGGTGCCCAGTCTCTGCACGCCAGGTCACCTGTAGTGGTCACTGAGCATCGTCTCCACGCCCACGCAGAGGCCGGGCCGTCAGGGTGTGGGCCCTGTGTTGCGGGATTCCCTCCGCATTCTCAGGTCCTGCCCCCCAGTTGGTCCTTGTCTTGGGATTGAACTTCTCGTCTTAAAGGCAAGAGGTGAAGAAAACAGAGTGGTCTCCAGGCCCCTTGACGCTCAGTCCTGTGGTGTGGACAGTGAGGCCCCAGAGCAAGAAAGGCCAGGGGGTGGGGCTGGCCCTCGCATTTGCATTTTGGGGATTTCCTTCGGTGTCCAGGCAGGGTGGAGGGTCGGCTTAGCTCCCTGTGGGCTCCAGGTCACAGGGTCCATCCAGGCCCCTGCTGACTTTCTGGATCGCAGTGGGCACTGCCCCTGGCGGCCTCCAGGAGGGCTGCAGTGGGCCTGATGGGCTCTGGGCTAACTCAAGACCGCCAGACTGACCTCTCGTTCTGCCCAGCTCCAAGGGAAGGCGGGGGTTTGCGGGCAGCCAGAGTAGCTTGGCCCGGCTTGGGGAAATGCCTCCTTCGGCCTAACTTAGGAGGAGAATCCGTAACAGGCACTGCCCTAGGAGCCTGCAGGGTCTCGGCATGGCCCCACGCGGTGACACCCGCCCAACTTCCTGCTCCTCCTTGTCTCCAGGCTGCCCCAGCAGGACCAAGAGGGGGCCCTGGATGCGGGTGGGACGCAGAGCACTAACCCCCAGTGTCGGTTTCCAGGATTTGGCAATGTACATCAACGAGGTGAAGCGGGACAAGGAGACCTTGAAAAAGATCAGCGAGTTCCAAAGCTCCATTGAGAACCTGGTGCGTGTGGACCCCCTGTGCCCCACATCTGCTGTCCCAGCAGGGACGGGGGATGAGGTTTGGGTTGGGCGGGGGCCCAGCAGCTGCCCCTCAGTTGTCCCCTCCCTGGGGCACTGTCACGCAGGGCTGATGTTGTTGGGGACCGAGATGACTGTCTCTGCTCACGTCTGCTGCCTCGGCCTCGGCACTGCCCTGCCGACGTTTGGGGTGATCAGTGGGGTAGGACAGCACCTGCCCTCGGGGGTGGCCACCCACGGTGTCCAAGCATTGCGGGATTCCTTTGGGTGGCAGGATCACCTGCTCAAGATGTCTGCTCGTTTTGACACGAATTTCCACTCCTGGGTGATCTTTGTCACACGTGTGGGCAGAGGATGCCCGGATGCCGGGCCAGCACGTACAGCCTGTGCCCACTCCGCACCCGTGGGGTCTAGGGGCGCAGGAGGAGCCTTGGGAGGCCGCATCCTGGGGTGTCACCAAGGAATGAAAAGTGATTGCTGCACCGCGTGATTCCCCTTCACGGGCCTTCTGACCAGAGACAGAATTGTCCAGCTGTCCTCACCGCTGGGGCCTGGCGCCGAGGCCCCCTCCCCTCTGGTCGCTGGTGATGCTCTCGTAGCACAAGGAAAGACGCTTTAGTCTCTCCGTGCGCGTTATACCTGCTTGTCAGATGAGGACAGAACGGCCCCAGCCGGGCACTTCCTCGGCTGCACAGGAGACCAGGCTGAGGCCCGGAGCCCTGAGCGGGTGTGCCGCTCCGGGTGATGCTGTCAGCGCCCTTGCAGCTGTGAGAACTTCGGGGAGCGTGGGGCTCATCACAGCCTGGCCTGGCTGGACAGCTCCTGGCATCGCCCCTCCTTTCTTGGCGCGTCCCTGGATGGTTGCCCCCACCTGATAACTTCCTGTTCTCCTCCCTTTGCCCTTTCGGGGCCTGGTGTCTGGCTCTTCCGGCCCGGCCCTGCCCTGGGCTGCCAGCTGGCCTCTGTGCCGTGTGGGCCGGTCTGGGAGGGGACAGCGGCCTGCAGGCCGGGAGCCTTCCGGTGCCTTTCCCTAGTCTGCATCTGTGGGGGTCACGGGGAGCTTGCCCGCCTGCCCTGCGGTGTGGGGAGTGGCCGGCTGCTAATGCCTTTCCCCGCTCTTTCCCAGCAAGTGAAACTGGAGGAATTTGGGAGGCCAAAGATCGACGGCGAGCTGAAAGTCCGCTCCATTGTCAACCACACCAAGCAGGACAGGTGAGGGCGGCGCAGGCAAGGCATCCTGTCCCGGGCCCGGCAGCCTGGGCACGGGGCCTTCCCTTGGCAGGAGTGGCCGGCCCAGGCTCTGCTGGCCCGACTCCCATTGCTTCCTGCCTTCTCTCTGAGCGCGGGTGGGCCTTCTGCCCAGTGACTGCGGGGAGTGGGTGGGCAGGAAGCTGGAGACTGCCCTGCCGTGACCCACACCGCCTGGCGCCCTGTGGGTGCGTCTGCCGTGTGCCAGGGGCTCGGACCGCAGCAGATACCGGTCCTGCCCTCTCAGGGCTTCCCAGCGTCTTGGGGGTCAGATGTACACTGGGTGTCTGCTGGGTGAACCTGAGGGCGCGGGTGTGTACCCCGAGAGGACGCAGTGTGGTGCTGACGCCCGGCGTGCTGTCCGGCCAGGTACCTGTTCCTGTTTGACAAGGTGGTCATCGTGTGCAAGCGGAAGGGCTACAGCTATGAGCTGAAGGAGGTCATTGAGCTGCTTTTCCACAAGATGACCGATGACCCCATGCACAATAAGGACATCAAGAAGGTGGGGGTCGGCCGGGGCGGGGCGCTGACTGGGCACCTCCGGACTCCGCTCCCCAGGAGGAGGCAGGTGGCGGGAGAGGCGGGCTTTCCGGAGTGATGGGACCTTGGTGGCCTTGATCCTTGGAGCAAGGACCTCCCCCTCACTCCCATCCGCTCTGTGTGGGCTCGGCTGGGGCCTCGTTGCTTCCTGTCAGGCTCTGACATCAAGCGGGCTGAGGGCTGGCTGTGGGGGACCCAGGCGTGCGGGGCGGGGCGGCGGCTGTGACAGGCCCTGAGCCCCCTGGTCCTGGCTTGCCCCGGGGAGGCTCATGCACAGAGTCTGGCACCTGCTGGGTGGCCCTGTGCCAGGTGGGCAGAGCCACGCTGCTGGACACCACAGCCCTGGCCTCAGCCCACTGCAGGGTGCAGACCCAGCGTGCACAGGGTCCTCCCAAGCCTGGTGTCCCAGCCAGGCAGCTGGGGCCCTGGGGACAGTGACCTGAGGCCACTGCCTAAGCTCAGGGCGCAGCCCAGCGAAGATGGGGCTCCAGGTCTGGGCCTCTGGGGCGATGCCCCTTTCCCTGGTCACCCCAAGCTGGGGCGCATGGCAGGGTCCATGTCCTGCCTGTTCCAGGCTGCTGTGCCCCGCAGGCCAGGCCACACCTCTCGGTGACTGTGCCCCTTTCCTTCCCTCTCATGCTTCCTAGTCTCATGGGAAAATGGTAAGCACCCTGCACCCGGGCTCCCTGGCTCGCTGCCCGGTGCTGGCCCTCCGAGCCGAGCTGAGCTGGGTCTGGGGCCCTGTGGGCCTCGGTCTTCATCCTCCTTCCACCATGGAGGTGACGCGTTGGTGACAGAGACTTGGGCGGTACAGAAAGTGTGACACGGGCCCTACCCTGCCCGGGCGGTGGCCGGAGGTTCCTGGCCCCCCCCCCCGGTTGTCACGTGTCCGTGTCCTGCTGTCGCTCCTCTGGTTTTTCCCCTCCTTCCTGCCTGTCCTCCCCTCCTCCTCCTCTTTCCCCCAACACACATGGCCTCGCTTCCCAAGCGCTGGCCCCCGGCCCCCTTGACACTGTCCAGAGAGCGTCTGGAGTGGCGCAGGCCACTAGGGAGGGTGCTTAGTGCAGTTTCAAAGCCCAGCCTAGGCTTTTAAAAAATTTTATTTGCTTGTGTTTTGCATCAGAGGAGTGAGTCTGGCATGGGTTGAGGAAGTGGGAGCAGGGGCGGGTTCCTGAGCAGAGCTCCCTGGGGACTGGCCGAGCCTCGGACCTCTGGGGTCCCCCCGCATGCACCCCGCTTCCCCTGCACATACATGTACACACGCAGGAGAGTGTCCTAGCACTCAGGCCTGGCATGGTACACATGTGCGAGCACTGTGTGTACACACGTAAAGGTGCACAGTGCACATGCATGTGAGCACCTGTGGTCAGTCCTGGGTCAGGACACACGTGTGCATGTGAGAACAGTGTGCACTCAGACACGGGTCCAAACACACGCTCACCTGTGTGAGCGCACCGTATGTGTGCTCAGGTCAGGACAAGCACATGCATGCTCAGACACAGGCAGGACGTGTGTGCATGTGCATACACACATGCAAGAGTGCTGTGCATCAGACACGAGCCCGGGGCATGTCCTGCAGGCTCACGGGCACACGGCACTCACATGAGAGAGCACTGGCGCGCTCGGGCAAGGGTGCACATGCATTCTCACGACGTGGACACACAGGATGCATACACAGGCACGTGCAGCAGCGCAGGAGTGCTGTGCACACACACGCACATGTGTACACATGCCAGCGTGCCAGCAGCAGGTGTGTCCCTGTCCCCTGCAGTGGTCCTACGGCTTCTACCTGATCCACCTCCAAGGGAAGCAGGGCTTTCAGTTCTTCTGCAAGACAGAGGACATGAAGCGGAGGTGGATGGAGCAGTTCGAGATGGCCATGTGAGTGGGGACAGCTGAGGCCCAGGGTTTTCTTGGGACCCTCTCGGTGAGCGTGGTGGCAGAGCCTGGGACGAGCCCCATCACCCCTGGGGCGCTGAGCATGCCTGCTGCCCCTGCCGCCCCAGGTGGGCCTGGCCATGGGGTCAGATGGTCCCCACCCTCCAGGCCCGCTCTGCACTCCTGATCAGGGTGGGGCAGGCCAGGCCATCGGGCTTGGCGTTGGTTCAGAAGCACAGCACTGCCCCAGAGAGCAGGAGGTGCCTTGTGTGTAGGACAGGAAGCTGGCGAGAGGGCTCAGGTGGCTCTGGGAGTGTCTACCTTGAAGGCAGGATGGGGCCTGAGCAGGTGCGGTGCCTCCCACGGCTTCCCCGCCTGGACCCTGTCAGGTGCTGCTGGGAGAAGCGAGGGGATTCTTTGGGCCCAGGTGGGTTGGGTGGTGGGGAAGCTTGGGCATTTCCTCTTTTCCTTTCAGTTTCCGTGGGTGGGAATTTTCTCCCAATGTGCTCTTGTGAACAACTTCACATACTCGTGGTACTCACCCCTCTCCCCACGGGGCCATGTCCCCATCGGGGATGTGCCTTGCCCTGTGCCACCTCTCCAGCTGGCCTCCTTGCTGTCTGGCAGCAGGTGACAGTCAAGACTCGGTGCGTGTCCCCTGGGGCCCCAGATCCCACCCTGAACTCGAGTTCCCGGTATCTAGGTCCTGGAATATCAGGCTTACACGCAATGAAGTGTGTAAGTTAGTTCAGTTGTCCCCTTGGCCACGGGACAGGACCACGCTCCCCAGGGGACGTGTGAGGCGTGGGCAGCATAAACTCTGTGTGTGCTGTGACATGCAGACATGTCACCAAGGGCAGATCCTACATTAGTAACAGCTGGTGATAGTAGGGCAGCGATGTCACATGCTCTAATAAAATCACTGCCTCTCTGCTCTCAGGCGCTGGTCTGTGATTAGGTCAGGCCAGGTCATCCGGACACCGGGACTAGGATTCCTCCATGGCTGACCCAACAGTTGCCAGCCTCTTTGGGATGGCTGAGTGGCTGGCCCATGGTGTGGACACATTGGGCAGAGGACAGCTGGTGACCTGGGCTGGGGCAGTGACACATATTTGCTAGGTTTGACGGAGACTGATAGTGCCCACCCCTGAGCCCTGTGATGCCTCCAGCTCTGTTCTGCACCCAGCCTGGCCGAGGTTGGGCAGAGCCAGGAGGGGAGTCTGGGCCCCCAGCCCTGCACAGCCAGGCCCGGGTGGTCCCCAGGTCTCGAAAGTGCAGCGCCTTCCACTCCCTCCAGGTCCAACATCAAGCCAGACAAAGCCAACGCCAACCACCACAGCTTCCAGATGTACACGTTCGACAAGACCACCAGCTGCAAGGCCTGCAGGATGTTCCTCCGGTGGGCCTCCAGCCCCTCGCACCTTGTCTGCCCTGGGGCCCAGGGGTCTGATCTCCCACCTTGGCCTGTGTGAGGCCCCAAGGAACCCAGGAGCACCCAAGGGAGTCAGGCCTGGGGCCTGGGGGTCTCAGGTCTAGCCGGAGGGGGTGTTCAGGGTGTCCAGGGATGGTGCAGGGGGCTGGACGGGTCGCTAGAGACTCCGGGATTTCAGAGGCCATGGTCACACCTGAGGGCGGACAGCCAGGCGGACTGCAGGGTGGGGACCGAAGCCCTGATGGCCCAAATGCAGCTTGGCCTCACCCCACCGTCCCCTGCAGGGGCACCTTCTACCAGGGCTACCTGTGCACCAGGTGTGGCGTAGGGGCCCACAAGGAGTGCCTGGAGGTGATGCCCCCCTGCAAGATCAGTGAGTACCCAGCACGCAAGCCGTGTCACCTCTGTGTCCCCGCACGGCACCTAGGGCTTTGCCCGTGTCCATGTGCACCCAGCCCAGGGCCTCATGAGCTGGGATGTGCTGTCCCCTGGGCAGTGACGTTGTGGTCCCAGAAAGAGCCCAGTGCAGGTCAGGGCTCTGCTGAGTGCCAGGCCCCGTTCTTCGAGCTCCAGGTGGGGGACCCAGCTCCATGCCACCCGCTGGGGGACTGTATCATGTCATGCCGTGTGTCAAGCTGCCTGCAGAGGAGGCTGGCTGGCTCCTTGTTCCCGGGCTCAGTGGCAGTAGGACCCAGCCAGGCAGGCCAGCCCGTGTCCGCCCTCTTCCCGGGCGGGGACCAGGCCCTGGCACTGGCATGGTCTTGGGTCATTGCTGTGCACTGGGCATGCACCTTGTCACTCTAACCTGCAAGGTGAGCCAGGAGGTGTCCCTGTCACCGCCCTACTGTGCTCCAGAAGTGGGCTTGAGACCTCCCTGGGGTCTCCGTGCAGGGCAGGATGTCTGTCCTGACCCTGTCCCCAAGCCACCTGGGAGACAGCGAGTCAGGTAGGCTTGTCCAAGACCCCCTGCCTAGAAATTTTAGTCATGAACTTCTTTTTTTTTTGGTACCGGGGATCGTACTTGGGACCTTGTGCTTGTGAGGCAGGTGGCGGAACCACTGAGCTAAATCCCCAGCCCTAGTCATGAACTTTATACTATGAGTAATGGATCCATCTGTCACTGGGAGTGGGCCCAGGACTCTTAGCGGGAGGTGACATCCCGTGCATCCCCTGGGCCTGCTCTGGCTGGGATGGATTCTTCAGCTGTGGCCATCAACATTGCCCTCTTGTGGCCATGTGCAGCGCAACCTCTCCCCACAGCTACTTTCTTTTTTTTTGTACGGGGGATCAAACTCAGGACCTTGTACTTTCGGACTGAGCTAAATCCCCGGGCCAGCTACTTTCAACATTTTTAAAAATCCTGATTCTAAAAGCAACATAATTAATTATCAAAAATCTGGAGAGAGGGCCGGGGATTTAGCTCAGTGGTGCCACTGCCTGCCTTACAAGCGCAAGGTCCTGAGTTCTATTCCTGGTACCAAAAAAAAAAAATCTGGAGAGAGAAAAATGTCAGAAAGAAGAAAACAAAGATAACCCATGACCTTACCTAGAAAAAACCAAGACAATGCTTCCGTCTCTTTCAAGTTTTCTTTTCTTGGAAAATACTCTCTCTAGGTTATCTTTTTCTCCTCCTGATTGTTAGAGAGTGGTTTCCCCGGGAAAGTTAGGAAATGTAAAGAAGTGTGAAAGGGGAGAGCAACCCACGCCCCCTCGGGGCAGGCACAGGCACCCCTCTGACTCCTGCCGTGCAGCCCACCCCTCCCGAGCTTCCCTTCCCCTGTCCTTCACCCTCAGTTCCCGGGGCCTGCCCCACGGGCAGCTTCTGGTCTGTGGAAGCCAGAGGTAGCGTTCACATTCTCCGAGTCATCACGGCCCCTGGCTGCACTGGGCATTTGAAGGGGCCAGTGACTCCGCCTCTGGGTCCCTCTGGTAGGCGTGGTCCCCACCCCAGCCCCAGCCACCCCGGCCTCTGCACAGCTCCCAGCAGGGCTCTGTTAGCTCCGCCTTGGGGCGATGCCTGCTGCCCCGGGCACCTGCCGGCTCCTCCTGGGGGCTGGCTGGGGAGCCCTCCCCGGGCAGGGTGAGGCCCATGCTGCCACCCACCGGCCTTTGCCAGCACCCCTGAGCTGTGGGCTGTGCCCCCAGTCTATGGAGACCTTTCTGTGCCAGAGCGTCAGCAGCCCCAAGGGAGTCCTTGCTTTGTCCTGCAGTGGGAGGTGGCCCAGCTCTGCAGATGGCTGGGTGGGTCCTGCCGTCTCCCAGGCCCTGTCCTCCAGCGCAGTGGCACCTGTGTGTCCTGAGGGGAATGCCACATCAGGGCATGGGCGCCCACACCCCTCATCAGTTGCCCAGAGCTGGCACCAGGCACCAGCAGTGATCCGGCAACTGCCGCCTTCCAAATAATGGGTCTGCAGGAGATGCAGGGTCTGGCAGCCAATCCAAGACCCCAGGAACCCCCCAAATCCAGAGCTTGGGATCTGCTGTCAGCCACTCAGAGAGTTCATAGTCACAGCTGTCCGCGTGTCTGTAACCTGTGTCTGAAACACGTGGCTCCCACCTGAAGCCTGTCCTCTTGCTTTGCAGCTTCCCCTGCAGACCTGGTGAGTCCCCCACACTCCCTCCTGGGCCACCTGCACCGCCAGCCCACCGAGCACAGGGGCCTTCATTTCCCTTCGTGGACGTCAGTAGAATGGGGTCCCAGCACGGCCCCCTGGGCACCCCGAGAGCTGTGGTCCTGTCCCAGCCTCTGCTGCCCTGGGCTCGCTCTGTGACCCCCATGGTTTCCTGTCCCCAAGTACCCCACCTGGCACAGAGCCCGGTGTCCAGCTGACATGGGGGTGTGGTCACTGCAGGCACAGACTTTGTGCCTCCCTCGAGCTGTGGGGTCCAGGCAAATGAGCTGGCATTGAGGGTGCAGAGCAGCCCTCAGGGCACAGCAATGCCTCTCTCTGCCACACAGCACTGAGCCCTCCTCAGCACTCACGACCCAGACGAGACCGTGCACCCTGGGCTGGGGGGGGTCAGGCCAGGCTTCCGGGAGGAGGAGCAGCAGCAGGAAGTGGGAGGGGCCACACAGAGAAGGTGTCCAGCACGGTTCCTGCCATCCTTTCTACCTGCCTCACCCCTCCTGGGGATGGGGGCCAGTGCAGGGCAGAGGTTGAGGAGGGCCTTCCCTTACCCCTCCCACCTGTCCCTGTCTGCAGGACACCTCTGGAGCAGGACCTGGTGAGTGCTGGACCGGAACCCGCTGTACACCTGGCTGTGCTGCTGGCCACTTTGTCCCCCCGCCCCTCCCGCCCCTTGGGGGGCAGCCAAGGTCCTGATTGGGCAGCTGCAGAGGTCGCTGTCCTTTCCCAGGGCTCTCAGTGCCCTGTGTCCTTGTGCTGGGTCCTGGTTTGCTCCCTGTCCGGAGGCTCGAGGCATCAGAACCCGCAGAAACCCCAGTGCGGCTCACGCTGTGCAGTCGTCTAAACATCACCCAGGAAAGACAAAAACTCGGACAGTGCTGCTGCTCCTGCTGGGCCCCTGGTCGGAGGCTGAGGGTTTGGAGGCAGCTGGGAGTGGGGCTGGATCGGAGTGAGGCTCCCCTAGGATTAGCCTCATTCTGTGAGGCCCGGCCAGCACCCCTCTTTGGCCCCTGAGCTGCCTCTGACCAGCTGAGTGCCCCTAGCCAAGTCCCTAGGCCACCTGGCCCTGTCACCTGTGTCCAACAGGGGCCCCACCCCGAGGGTAAATCACACTGGACCCTGTGCCGTCCGTTCCCACGCACAACATGCGGCGTCTGCTCAATGCAGAAGTGGTTCACTTAGCGCACTTGTCAAAAAGACGCAGGCGCCATGTGGCGGACTGGGGTGACGTTAGCTGTCTGTCGGGGTGGTCCTGTGCCAGGAGCTCCGGGAACTGGGGAGGACTGGAGGCGGAGGCCGGGTGGGCGGGCAGCCTGCGCCCAGGTCCCGTGAGCCCTGCCCTCCCGCCCTGTCCCCAGGCCCCAAGATGGTGGCAGTGCAGAATTACCACGGCAACCCTGCCCCTCCTGGCAAGCCTGTGCTCACCTTCCAGACCAGCGACGTGATTGAGCTGCTGCGGGGCGACCCTGAGTCACAGTGGTGGGAGGTGGGTGCCCCTGCTGCCCTCTGTCCCCAGGCGGAAGCCCAGCGTGCGGTGTCGGGTGCAGAGCGGGCCTGGGCATTGAGGTCCTGGCTGCGCGGATCCTGCCGAGGCTTGGATCTGGGGATCGGCCGTCTGCCCTCGGGTGTCCAAGCCCCGCCTTGGCCTTCCTACCTCAGTGAGCCCTGTAGCCCCCTCCCTCTGCATCCCCACCTCTGCCCCACCCAGGTCAGCACCTGGACGCCTGTCCCCCCAGGTCCGGTCTGGGTAGTGGGGACAGACACGGGCCCAGCCCACATGCTCGTGTCGTGGTCCAGTCCCGAGCTAGGAAGTCACCACTTTGCTCCCCGGGCCCACAGAGGTGGAGCCACCAGCCCTGCCACCCAGGGCATCCCGCCGGAGCCAGTGCCCAAGGAGCCCCACGCGGCAGCTGCAGCAGGGCCTGACACTCTCTGCGGCCCTGTCGTCTGGTCGCGTCCCTGTGTACCTAGTTACGGCCGCCTGGAACCAGACTCGGCCGTTTCGTGGCTGGGGCGGAGCAGTGCTGAAGGGATCCCCGCGCCCCCACTCCCAGCCTGCTCGCCCCTCCCAGTGTGACCCGGTGCTGACTGCCGGGTGTCTCTTCCTCCAGGGGCGGCTGGTGCAGACCAGGAAGTCCGGGTACTTTCCCAGCTCGTCTGTGAAGCCCTGCCCAGTGGACGGAAGGGTGAGTCCTCTCCCTGAGGCGTCCCCAGCTGGGAAGCCAGGCACAGGGCCTCCTCCAGCATGCCAGGCTCACCCAGGGCGTCCTTGCCCCAGGGCTGTGGTGGCAGGGGTGGGGCAGGGTGCTGGCCTGTGAGGTGGACGTGTGGGGCTGGGGTGCGTCCTGTGCCTTCTGGAAGAGGCGGAAGCCCCATGCAGGAGCCAAAGCTGGACGGAAGGCTGAGTGGGTGGCACTGTGATGTTGGAGGGGACAGAGGGGCAGTAAGAGTGGGGCTTCTTCCTGGGGTTGGGGAGCCACTGCCCTGCCCTGCCCGTCCCCCCAAATGGGTTGCGGGGCAGGCCGGGGGCCGGGGCTGGGCTCCGGTGTGGACGCGGCCCCTCCATGCCGCCCTGTGGAGCCCCAGGGTGCTGACACTCTGTGCTGTGCCCCTAGCCACCCATCAGCCGGCCGCTGTCCCGGGAGATGGACTACACTGCCTACCCCTGGTGAGTGGCTCAGGGGCGCGGGTGTGGCATTCAGCGGCCTAGGGTCCGGCAGTGTGGTCTCCATGGAGGGAGCTGCCCTCTATTTCAGTCTGGGGTTCGTCCGGAAGCCACCCAGCACCCCTGTCCCATGGCATGATGAGCCCCCTGCCCTCCGTGACCCCACCCCACCTCGAGCCAGCTGCCCCTGCGTCTCCAAGAAGCTGGCTGGGCCCCTGTGGTGCAGGTGGCCTGCAGTCGATCTTGGGGTTTCCCTTGATGAAGAAACAAACAGATTTAGTTTTGTTGTTGTTGTTGTTTTAAAGGAAGAAAGGTTTATTTCAGCTCACAGTTTGTAGAGGTTTCAGTCTATAGTCGGCTGGCTCCAAGGCAGGATGCATGGCAGAGGGGAATGACAGAGGAGAAACAGTCCATGGCAGGGTTGGCAGGAGCGAGATTTAGTTTTTTACCGTTGCTTTACCTTGGTGGCCCAGTGTTGCTGAAGTCCCGATCCTGGGAGTCTGTGGGGAACTTGGTGTCCCAGAAGTCTGTGGCATCAGCTGATGTCTTCACCATGTTTCCCCCACATAAGCAGTCACCTGAGTGCTGCTCTTTCCCCCTCCTTTTACTGGTTTTTTGACACAGGTTCTTGCTGTGCAGTTCAGACTGGCCTTGAGTCACTGTAGCCCAGGCTGGCTTTGAACTCACAGTGGTCTCCTGCCTCAGCCTCCCAGGTGCTGGGCCTACAGGTGTGCACCACCATGCCCCACTAGTACTGCTTTTTACGTAGTAAAGAGATGGGATGAGTGTTCGCTGCCCCCTCGGGCCCACAGAGCGGGCATTGCTCTAGGCCGGCCCAGCACTGCGTCACAGAGCCTGTCTCGGCCTAGGTTTGCAGGCAACATGGAGAGGCAGCAGACGGACAACCTGCTCAAGGGCCATGCCAGCGGCACCTACCTCGTCCGGGAGCGGCCCGCGGAAGCTGAGCGCTTCGCCATCAGCATCAAGTGAGTGCCGGCCATGGGGCTTCCGCAGACCCCCGGGATGGGTGCCTGTCCCCTCCGTGTCCTGGGTCTGTCGTGACCTGGGTGGGTCCAGACCCCCGGTGTGGCAGGCGGCTCAGCCTGGGCCCTGGAATTGCAGTGACAGAGGCCAGTGGGGAAGGGGTTTTCTGTGACACACAGGAGCCAGGACACCATGCACTCCTGTCTTGGAATGTTTTCCTCCACCCTGTGGGTGCCCAAAGTGAGGCTACCCCTAACAGCAGGGGCTCAGGAATGGCGTGGTGGCGGATGAGCCCCGGGTAACCTGGCGGGGTGGGTGGCAGGGCACAGAGAGGTGATGGCCGCAGGCGTATGTGTGCCAAGGGGCAGGGGCCGCATGACCCACGTGGTGACCACAGGGCCCGGTCAATCCCCAGGTTCAACGATGAGGTGAAGCACATCAAGGTGGTGGAGAAGGATAGCTGGGTCCACATCACGGAAGCCAAGAAGTTCGAGAGCCTCTTGGTACGTCTGGCCCTGCCCATCCCACCCACTTTCCCAGGCAGGAAACCTGACCTCTCCCTGCGTGGAAAACTGACATGCAAGGCACCTGGGATGCTGGGCCATGTCACACGATGGAGCTAGGACTTCCGACCCCAGAGCCTGGGCTGGGTGTGTGGCCCTCTGTGGCCACCGTGTCACCACAGCCTCTCCAGGGGAGCTTCCTGCCCCAGGCCCAGGGAAGTGACCACAGACTCCCGCTCCAGTGCCCCCTCCGCAGCGGCTGGCCTGCCAAGGTGCAGTTAAAGGTGTGGTCCTCCTTGAGCGACTTTAGAATCGGTCAGGTCGCTTCTCTTCCACATCCCGAGTGGCAAGTGCTGAGGTCCCCAGGCTAGGACAGTGCCTCCTCCACTCTGTGGACCCTGAAAGCAGAGTCACACAGGAAGAGTCTGCAGCCTCGCCCCCTAGACCCAGAGGCCAGCATGGTGGGTATGGTTCATACCTTTCAAAGGCAAACACACTGGCCATGCTGCAGGGTCCCGTGACCTGCAGGGTGGCCAGCCGTGCCCTTGCTGAATCCTCTTCCCCTGGCTGGCAGCGTCTGCATCTGTCCTGGATTTGAGCGCTGTCCCACATTGGACACATGGCATCAGCTTCTGTCCTAAGGGCTGGCAGACCACATCCTCCTCGCCTGTCAGCCTCACTGTTCTGCGAGATTATTCCTCTAGGGGACTTGGGGGCGTAGTTGCTGGGCCAGGGTCTAGGGATGGATGCCCACCTGGGCTGGGCGAGGAGCAGGGAGTCGGGGGCCCGCCAAGGGACCACCCCTTGTGGGCCCAGGAGCGTGCTGAGCGCTGCCCCCCGCAGGAGCTGGTGGAGTACTACCAGAGCCACTCGCTCAAGGAGAGCTTCAAGCAGCTGGACACCACGCTCAAGTACCCCTACAAGTCCCGGGAGCGCGCCGCCCCCAGGGCCTCCAGCCGCTCCCCAGGTAACGCCACGCCACTGCCCACTGCTCTGCCTACTGCCGGCGGGGCCCAGGTTCTCTGTGCCACCTGCCCTCTCGGGCCTCGGCCAGCCCAGGCCTTCCCCACCCCCACTCGGGCACCAGCGCCAACCTGTGAGCCTCCTGTGCCGCGTGACAGGGACCTGCACCGGCTCTGCCCCGCTGCTCGGTCTTGGCTCCTTGGCTTGGGACTGGAGTGGGTGGGATAAGCCAGGTCCCCGGAACCCGGGCTCAGCCGGAGAGGCTCCTGGCCACAGGGACCTGTGGGGCTCGGTGCCCCAGGCAAGGCCAAGCAGCAGAGCGGGGACGGGCCTTTACTGCACCTCCCTGGCACCCCTGCCCCAGGCCCTGCGCCCCTCGCCGGTGGCCGCCCCGCTGCCCACGCGTCTGTCTCATGTTCTCTCTCGCCTCTTTGCAGCGTCCTGTGCTTCCTACAACTTCTCTTTTCTCAGTCCTCAGGGCCTCAGCTTTGCCCCCCAGGGCCCTTCCGCTCCCTTCTGGTCAGGTACCGCTGCACTCAGGGCTCAGGGCTCTGGCCTGGCAGTCCCGGGAGGCACAGCCTGGTGTGGGTTGGGCCTGGGGAGCCGGGTGGGGCCGCTGTGCACCCGAGGACAGGTCAGGCCAGGCCCACCCGCACCCTGAGGGCCCCTTCCCTCCTCCGCTGTCGCCCTCATAGCTCGTCAGCTTTGCCTCTGGCGGCGGGAAACATGGGCCCCTCGTGTGTGGCCGGGAGGCCTGGGACTCGGCTGGGGAGGGCGGGGTCCTGGTGGGGCCTGACAGAGTGGCGATCTGCCGCCAGAGCCAAAGCCTCTCCCCAGTGGCTGTGTCACTGTCATCGTCACCCACCCCTCAGCATTCCTGGGCTCGGGCTGAGCTGGCTCCAGGTCTCTGGTGTGGTTCAGGCCTCTGGGGTGGGCCGTAGTGGTCAGTGCTGGGCCAGCCTGGTTCTGCTGTGAGGACCCAGCCACGCCGTGCACCTGGACCCACAGCACAGTGAGGGCCCACGTCCTCCTCTGTGGGCACAGGGCTGGGCACTGGGTACTGGAGGATCCAGCTCGGCCCGAGGCCCCCGGTCCGGCTGGGCCCCACAGCTGCCTGACGCTGCCCCCTCTCCCTGCAGTGTTCACGCCCCGCGTCATCGGCACGGCGGTGGCCAGGTACAACTTCGCTGCCCGGGACATGCGGGAGCTCTCGCTGCGGGAAGGCGACGTGGTGAAGATATACAGCCGCATCGGCGGGGACCAGGGCTGGTGGAAGGGCGAGACCAACGGACGGGTGAGCGCCCTGGGGTGCCCAGGAGGTGGGACCGGAGGCAGGCCCTGTACTGGGCACCCTCTGGCCGTGACCTCCCTCATCCTCAGAGCCGCCCCGAGGGCCCGTGTCAAGGAGGGAAACTGAGGCTCCAGATGTTTACCGTGGGCCCCAGGTCCCACAGGTGTCAGACCCGGATCAGGGCTGGGCTCAGGCCTCCCTTCCCTGCTGCAGAGCCCAGGGCCCCTCTACCAGTGCTGGTTTTGACCTAGGTCTCTGCACCTACCCAGTGGGGCACAAGAGTTCTGTGTGCCGCCAGCTAGGAAAAGCCCAGCCCAGCTCTGCTCTCAGCCACCCACAGGCAGGTGCCAGGCAGCTGCAGATTCCCTGCTGAGCATCCATGGCCTGGTACAGGAGCCAGGCTGCCTCTGCTGGGTGTGGCATCGGCCCCTGCAGGCCCCAGTTGTGGTCCAGCTTCCTCCCAGGTGCCGGTTAGCAAGGGACAGGTGCTGAGTCCCAGGCTGCGGCCTCCAGGCTTGGATCTCGACTCTCGATGTGCACCTGTGTTGGCGGCATTGTGGGCGGCTGGAGCCGTGTCTCCGGGACACACCCGTGTCCTCAGCAGGTCCCAGCAGTTTCTCTGCAGTGAGGTTTAGAGCCTCTGGCTCCAGCACTGCTGATTGCTGTCGGTGAGGCCCTGCGGTGTTAGGGAATGTCCCTTTCTACCTCTGGCATTTCTTGCAAAGTCTGCTTTGCGTTCAGAGCGACACCAGCTTTCCTTGGGATTCAGTGTTGCATGGCGTGCTTTTCTCTCTTCCTGTTTCCTTGCCTTTAAGAGGGGTCTCACTCATGGGTGGGTTTTTTTGTTTTGTTTTTTGGTACCGGGGATCGAACTCAGGACCTTGCACTTTCAAGGCAGGCACAGTGCTATTGAGCTAAATCCCCAGCCCACAGGTGGGTTTTTAAAAACCCAATGTGATCTGTCAGTCTTCGACTTTTAGCGGGCACACTTTGCCCATTTACACGTAATGTAATCCCGGGGCTACTTAGGGGCAAACACATCTCCTCCTGGTTTATTTGCCACAGCCATTCTTTGCTTCTCCTGACTGCTGTTGGGTTGACCAGTGTTCTTGTCCATCTGTTCCACGTGCCCTCCCTGGATTGGTTGGTCACACACTCTCCCTGTCATGTGACACCCCCTGCTGCTTAGAGACCAGCTCACATGGGTGTGGTTACCGCTCCCGAGGCAGCGTGAGAACGTGCAGCCTTTCACCGTTTTTTCCCTCCCAGTCTGCCCGCTGTGCCGTAAGGGTGCGTTGGAGGGAAAGCTGCAGAAGGGGCTCCCTTCATCCCAAGTGTTTCCTGGGATCAGGCCGGGCTCCGGGGTCCAGCACCGGACCGTGGATCGTATCCCCTCGCCGTGACCCTGAGCTCTGTCCTGGAACGAGGACAGCCCTGTGACTTGGACACTTTCCGAAGAGCTGGCCAGCTGTCTCTAGAATATGCACAATCTGTTCAGGCTTGTGGGACACATGAATGACGGAGGTCACAGAGTGTGGTCTCTCTCGGGGCACCGTGTCTTGCCAGGAGTCTGTGACGCCACTTTCTCCCGCCGTTTGTGACATTAACTCTGATCTGCCAGGTTCCTCTTTTTTGCAGTAACTGTGGTTAATGAGTAACCTGTCAGGGGGTAGCGGTGCCTGTCCGTAAGCCCAACTGCTCCAGAGGCTGAGGCAGGAAGACCACAAGTTCAAGGCCAGCCAATACATGTGAAAGCCTGTCTGAAAATAAAAAATGAAAGCAGGGCCAGGGATTTAGCTCAGTGGTTCCGGCGCCTGCCGCGCAAGCGCAAGGTCCCGAGTTCCATCCCTGGTACCAAAAAAAAAAAAAAATGAAAGGCAGGCCTGGGGCTGCAGCTCACTGGTAGAGCATTTGCCTAGCGTGTGTGAGGCCCCAGGTTCGATCTCCAGTGCCACCCCTCCGGTACCAAATTTGTGGCGTAAGACAAGGGGTGATCAAGAATACAGTGAATGGCTTTAAAAAATGTTTTAGCAGTAAAAGACATGTCGCCATGAATCCCTTCTCCCAAATACTCTGCCTTGCTGTGGGCACTTGTTCTATCATTCTTGCCACTTCCTGTAGCGGCTCTGGAGTCCTCTTTCCTGAGTGTCTTCAGTTTTGCTGGCTGCCTCTGTGTCCTGAATCAGTTCAAAACTTCTCCTTTCCGTGGTCATTTTGACTTTAGGGAGGAACCGGAAGTCACATGGTTTCGGATCTGGTGAATGAGGTGGATGAGGAGGCAACATCCTGTTTTTATGGCCTCTTTCCATTGGGTGGGGCTCAGCAGCAGCTCTCAACATAGCTCTGATCGTGCCTTGTAAAGACACTCGTGAAAGGGCTGCAGAGCTGCTGCAGAAGGTGATGGGGACAATAGGATGGGTGTCAGGCATGGGGCAGTTTTACGACAAAGACTCTTGGCACTGTGCCTTTTACTGTAAAACATTTTTACTCAAACGCACACTGTATTTTTGGACGCTGTGTATAGTCGGGCCTCTGTCTGTGGGTTCCGCATCTGTGGATTCAATCAACCACAGACCAAGAGTATTTCTACAGAATTGTGTCTGTATTGAATGTCTGCAGACCTTTTCCCCGTTGTCATTCCCTGAACAAGGCAGCATAGCAGCTATGGACGCAGCGTTCCCGTGGCACTGGGTACTGAGAGTGGTCCAGAGGCCTGTGAAGAACACGGGAGGGCGTGCCAGGTTCCATGTCAACACCACGCTGTCGCACATGAGAGCAGAGCATCTGGGCCCTGCAGATACCAGTGCGACTGCCCTTGGAGATCGGTGGCCATCTCGGCTCCCTCGGGGCTCACGAGTTCTTCCTCTCTGCGCTCCTGGACTTCGCCCGCACATTTCTTCCCCCAAGGCGGTTACTCCTGCCTGCCCTTCTCGGGGACTTGCTGCTGCTCCGTCTCCAGGAGGAGCTCCTTCTCCCGCTTGCCTCCTCCCTTCTCCCCTGAGTGGCTCATTTCTCCGAGCAGGAATCTTGCGCATTGTCTGGACAGGGCTTTCCTCCAGGTGTGGGGGCCCGTGCTGCTCTCTGAAGGCATCACCCTGGGGTCCTCTGGCTTCCACCGTGTCCTTACCGGCCCTTTGGAGAGACGCACCCCGACCACGGGCCCTGCCCACTAACCCAGCCTGTCCCCTCCCCACTGTAGCATCTGCGCCGCGTCCTCATTCTGTGTGCACGGTGCCAGGCCTGCCGTGGCCCGAGTCCCTCTCCCCTTCCTGGCTGTCCATCTGGTCACTGTCTGTCACCTGCCTCCATCACACCTGTCGGTTCTTGGCTTCCGTCTTGGCCTCTTCAGTGCCAGAGTTTCCCTGGGGTCTCGCTGGTCGGTTGTGATGTTGTCCGCCTCTTCACTGTTTACACCCCGATGGTGGCTCGGGGCCGGTTCCTGCCGTCTTCCTCTTTCTCGGCAGTGTCGCATGGTCCTGGGGAGCACTGGGCCTCGTGTGAGGCTGGGGGTTCTGGGCCACGAAGGTCCGGGCCCCAGCAGGGTCGATTCCTTCCTGGCTGTCAGTCATCTTAACCGGCCGGCAAGGCTGGTGTGTTTCTGGGCTCCGTGTGCGCTCCACCCACTGGGCCCTGAGCCCTCCCTTCGCCTGTGCACACCCTGCTGTCCCCCGATGGCCACCGACGCTGGAGTCCTCTCACCATCTCTTTCAGATCGGATGGTTTCCCTCGACGTACGTGGAAGAGGAGGGCATCCAGTGACCGCAGGGGCACGGACATGGTTTGCGGTTTTCTCCGGAGCACGTCCCCGGCCCTGAAGTCATCTCTGGCTCCTCCGTTACTCCCAGGGGAGACGCCCACCAAGCTGCCCGTCATGGACAGTCTGAAGGGGTGGGAGGGCTCTTGGAATCCTAATCTCGGACCATTTCCCTGCCATTTGCCCCGGTGGCCTGCGGTGGGTACGCTGCTTGTACATAGAGGAAGCCTGGGCCAGCCCTGCCCAGTGTGGAGAGGTGGCCAGCGCCAGCCACATGGCAGACCAGGCCCTGGGTGGCAGTGGAGCCAGAGGCTCATCGCGTGCCCCTCTGGAGGAGACAGCACTCGGGTGCCTAGGATTAAACAGCAGATGGTGTCTCCGGGGCTGGGGACATCAGAGGGGCACCCAGACTGTGCGCTCAGCCCTAGACTCAGCCCCTCTCTCTGCTGCCCCTGGGGGTCCTGGCCGAGACGGGCAGCAGGAACCAGAGCCAGGCTGTTTGCCGTGGTCCTGCTCAGCCTACTTTGCTGGGGTACAGAGGTAGGGAGCTCATGGGGGTCCCCAAGCGCTGCTGGCTGCCGGGACTTCCCACCACGTGGGGCCTGCAGACCTCACAGACAGCCAGTTCTCAGGAGGCCCCGAGGGACAGGACCTGGGGATCCCGCCCCCAGTCAACGGTACTGTTTGGGGCCTTGCCAAGCCCTCCTTGAGCCTGCTGCCTGGCGGTGACACGCCTTCTGTAGATCCTGCGGGCACGGTCATCAGTAACCACGCCCCGCTTGCTGCCCTCCCTCCTCCAGGCTGTGCCCTGCATGGGCCCGGGGTCTGTCAGCCTTTGCAAGAGATCAGTTCTTGCCCGTGGGCGGTCTCCCTCCAAGGGTCCCTGTGGTAGCACTTAGGCCACAGTGAACCCGAAATAAGTGCCCTTGGGGGTGGCTGTACCCTGTTGCCTCTCCCACTCTCCACATCCTCGAGGGGACCCCTGCTGGCTTGTCCACACCCCATTCTCTGCCCTGAGGCTGTGTAAGACCCTGTGACTCTTGTTTCCCTCTTAGTCACAAGGCAAAACTTGGGGCTTCCTCTGGGCCCCTGTGTCCTTGTCAGCTGCACAGCCCCAGGCCAGGAGGGGACGGCCAGGCTGTGGGGCGCTGGTCCTGTGTGCGAAACACAGGTGCCTCAGGCCAGGCGAGTAGCTTCTGTACTCGATTTGCACCCCAGCAGCTGGGCGTGGGGAGGAGGTGGGCGGGTGGGGAGGAGAGGAATGGGGGCAGCGAAGAGTGAGCTCCGAGAAGGGGCACAGCCTTGGGGGCCCAGGACGGCAGGGATGTCGCGGCCCTGCCTGCGGGCTCACCGTCAGGACTTTCGCATAGGTTTTCGTTTCCTTGTGTTTTCTTCTGCCCGTTTGTTTTTTAAGGGGAAAAGATTGAGGTTATTTCCTCCACACCTCCCTGCTCTATCTGTGAGAGAGAAGGGAGATTTATCGCCGGCACCAGGCCATGGGTATTTGTGCCCGTGGCCCCAGAACACTGAGAAATGCGGTCCGGAGCCTGGGTTTTGTGAATGTTTTGTTCTGTGTTTGTTTTGATCTTTGTGTTTGGTTTGGCTTTCTTTTTGCACTGTACCGAGCAGGGTGGTGGGAGGCGGGACGCCCCAAGGAGGGCTGAGGACCTGGCCCCGATCAGCTGTGAGCGTTTTAGAGCCCCTTGCATGCAAGTCAGGGATCTGGGGTTCAGCTGCCATGACCCCAAGTGAAACACAAACTGTACATTTGCCAATGGGTTTTTTCAGACCACGGTTTTTACTCCCAATAAACCTATTTTCTTTTCTGCTGGAATGATTGGCCTGTCGTGCCTTGGGGCGGGGGCAGGGTGTGTGGCATTTCTTCCCCTGAGCCCACAGGGTCTGCCCAGCTCCAGGCCAGAACTGCCATGGCCCCTACCCGTGTCCTCCCAGAGCCGCAGAGCCTCCTGCTCCCCTCCCAACCTGCCATCCTCACCATTGCCTCATAGTCCAACATAGCTGCAGGAGCTCCTGCCAGTGAGGCCATGAGAGGAAGCAGAGGTCCTCTTGTGGCTCTGTACCCAGTGCCTGCTCACAGAGCCATTCCTGGCTGCCGTGGGGCTGGGAAATACAGGGCCTATGCAAGGCCCCGGCCATCCTGGAGAACAGGGTCACATCACCAAGGGGACTGAAGGGCCCGTGGGGGTGGGCAGCAGCTGCCCATGCGAGGACCAAAGGAGACAAGGCTCGGTGGATGTGGGCTCTTGTTCCAGGCAGGTGGGTCCTGAGGCTGGGGAGCCCGTGCCCGCCCCCACCACGCCTGGCTCAAGTCGCTGACAGCCAGTGCCCACCGTGCTGCCCCAGGCAGGACGCCATCCACATGGCCCAGGAAGGAGGTGACAGTTCTGCTGCAGGCTTTGCAGCCTGAACCCACTCCAGAGATGGAGGTGCATCTGACCCCTGACACACCATCTGCCAACGCTGATCCCCTCCTCAGGGGCTCCTGGCTCCAGCCCTGCACACCCCCCCGCCTGTGGAATCTGTTTCCTCGCGGACCTGGGTGCCAAAGTCCAGGGTCACAATGCTGGGGTGCTGGTTTCTGAGGCCTCCTTCCCTCAGGGTGGCTGTGGCTTGCTGTCCTCGGGGGCCCTCCCTGGTTTCTCCGGAGGTCCAGGTCCTGTTGGATTAGGGCTCCTGCTTGGGCCCCGCTAATGGCTCCTCTGTAAGCTCTGTCCCGGAGTCGCACTCTGAGGGGTGTGGGGAGTTGGGCGTTGGTGCGTGACTCGGGGTGCTCAGAGCAGCCCCACGCCCTGGTCCTGCATGCCACCGTGGGCTGCTGAACGCCTGTCCGTGCCCTGGTGGCCCAGCTGTCCCTCTTGCTGGAAGGACCTGACTCCCCTTCAAGGCCACGTCCCCGCAGAGGACATCTGGGGATGTCGGGCGCCACCCGGGGGAGCACCCCTGAGCCGGGTGGACAGCTGCCATGGCTGGAGGGACCTCTGTCCCAGAACGAGGTCACCAGGGCAGCAGGCAGGAGGGGTGGCGCCTTAACCCAGGGTGTCATCTAGGGCCACCCTAGCCCTGCCCAGCCCACCCTGGCCCTTCCCATGTGCCCTTAGACCAGCAGGAGGTCGGCCCCGGGGCTGCCATGGACTCACGGTGGAAACCAGGCCTATGCGGTGCCTTCACACGGAGTCCGCCACCCACACGCACTAACCGCTCTGCGCCTGCACTGGACGCCGCAGGAAGCAGAAGGGAAGCTTGTGTGGGGGCAGGGCTGGGAAAACTGCATTTCCCCCTCCCTTCCCCTCTGTTCTCTGGACCCTTTGCCAGTTCCCAAGGGAATCCTACATTTTCTACCTGACCTGCTTTGGTGATTTTCCTTTATTTATCAGGTAATGCAAAACATACAGATTTTGTGCTTTGCTACTTCTTTCATGTATCCAGCCCATTTTAATTGATCCCTCAGCTGAGCCGCAGAACACTGAACAGGCGGTCAAAGTCTCACCCGTTGTCTATGGCATGTTGGATCGAGCACGCGACACACAGCCATGCTCACGGTTTGAAATACGCAGGGTGCAAAGATGGACCGGGAAGACTGGGCCCATTCCAGAAAAGGAGAGAACCACAGGTCCAGGCTCTCCAGGGCTGGGGCCTCGGGTTCTAACTCTCCCGGGGCACAGGGAGCCACAGCTGCAGGTTCTCCTGGCCCGGGACCAACCCCTGGGTAAAGCCAGGGCTCAGAGAACTCCCACCATGCAGAGGAAACGCACAGAAACAGTTGGGGTTTCAAGAGAGGAAAAACCAAAACCATGGAGCAGGGCAAACCTGGAGGTTTTCCTGTTCCCAAAAATAAAGGAGGAGGAAGCACACCATTCCCCAGGACTTGCGGATGTGGGATGGGGAACCCGGCGTTCGGAGAGGAAGGGAGAAAAGCCGCTGGGCATCCAAACAAAGAGCAAGTCAGGTAGGAGGCGAAAATGTCAGGCTTGCCATAGACGACAACCCCGGGAACCCTCGCTGCCGGGTCCTGTGAGTGGCAGTCTGGATGCAAGGCGGCAGGGACGTGGCACCGTTGCTGCAAGGGAGAAGTGGCCGTGCGCGCTGGGAAGCAAGCCCAGAAGCCTGGGTGACCACGCAGCCTTAGTCTCTCTGAACAAGTCCTAGCCAGGGTGGAGACTTGGTTACAGAAAATGCTGCAGCCGTCATACACTGCTGGAGAAAGCTGCTGATGTCAGAAAATAGGGAGGACAGCTGGGAAGGGACGGGGACAGAGGCAGGAAGGGACGGGACGCTGGCTTCCTCAGCTGTTCTTGCTGCTGGACTCCCAGCCAAGCCTCTTCAGACCCTGCCTGCAAAGTGGCGCAGGGAGCTGGGATCGGGTCACGTGGCTTCTCCTCTCTCCCACCTCTGGCTCCACAGTCCTTTGTCATGGCATCTCCCTTGTGTTTATCCACAGCCTGCACTCACACCTCCGACCGTGATGTCAACTTGAACATTTGTATCATTGAAAGCTCTAAAAGGTTAGCGGTCGCTGGCCTGGAAGATTGGGGGAGCACAAGATTGGGTGTGTGTGGATGACGGACACACAGGCCACTGACTGAGGAGGGAAGGCCCGCCCCGGATGTGGGTGGTGCCAACCAATAGGCTCGTAGCCTGGATGGAGTAAACAGGGAAAGAAGGAAGACTGCCCTTCTGCTTCTTCAGAGGAGCTCCAGTCTCTTCCTCCAGATGCTCCTCTCCAGTCCCTTCAGGCTTCCAGCACAGACCCTTGGCTTTCCAACGTGGTGGACTCTGCAGTGAGCTCCAGGCCTTCAACTTTTGTCTGGGTCTCCCAGCCCTCGGGCACACTGTGGATGGCCCTTCTGCACCCAGCCCTCCGAGCGGCCATTATCGGCCTACCCGGCAAGTCCTGTACACATCATGCATACTGTTTAATCTGTTCCTCTCAAAAACCCTGACCCATGCACGAGTGTCAGAGTTACACTGCAAGGAAAGGTAACGCTCGCAGGACCCAGTGCCACGTGGGATGTGGACATCCTTGGGGTTGTGGTCCTGCCTGCAACAAACGGTAGGTCACACACCCCAGTCAGCTCCCCAGTACAAACAGCACAGACATTGGAAAAATAGTCCAAAGTCCATCAGTGAACTCGCAAAAAAGAAGCAACACATGCCAAACACGAAGCACAGGAAGGAGTCCAGAGGTCGGCTGGCTTTCTCCTTGTGGCATCTGCCCAGCCAGCGACTTTGCAGACCAGCCTTAGGGCCGAGGAGACACACACAACTCAGGGCGCCAGGTGCCAAGTCTAATGGGCGGGCCGTCTTTGAAGCTGGGACACGGGTGGGCCTCACCACAATGTCCAGATGACTGTGTACACGGTGTGATCAGAAAATACGGTGAAGGTTACCTCCTCTATTATTACAGTAAACGACACAGGGCCACCATTAACCTCCCTCAGAACCCCCTCATTCTGAACACTTCCCCCACCACCGTTGCCACTTCCTGAAGCAGCTCGGGAGTCCTCTTTCATGTGTATCTTTAGTTGCGCTGTCATGGCTGCTTTGATGGCCTAAATTGATTCAAAACATAGACTTTTCAGGGCCATTGTGATGTGGGGGAATAGGGCCGGAAGTTGCATGGTGCCAGACTTGTTGAATAAGGGGGATGAGGACACAGCATCCTGGTTTTACGAGCTGTCTTTCCTGGGGCTCAGCATTCACTATTCCGGAACTGCTTCTGAAAGTGGCAAGAAGGAATGAAGCATTTTGAGGGAAATTAACCCTAATATATAATAATAATAATAAATTAACCCTAATCTTTTACTGCAATAATTTTAATTAATTAATTAATTTGGTACCAGAGATCGAACTCAGGGCCTTGCGCTTACAAGGCAGGCGTGGTGCTGCTTAGCTAAATCTCTGGCCCTACAATGTTTAAATTCAGCACACATGGATTTGCATCACCCCTTGTGCATCCTCCCCAGCCCACACACACTGCCAGTACCACCAAGGATAGCAACACAAATTCTTCTTGCATCTTAACAGTGAGGGGAGGCAAAAAGAAAACCTTCCAGAGAATGTACGGCCTCGACTGAATTGTATTCCCCACAAAGACAGCTTGAAGCAGAGCCCCAGTACTGGCCAATGTGACATTATTTGGAAACAAGGTCTTTGCAGATGTAATCAAGTTAAGATGGGGTCCCCAGCGTCCCCTATGTCAGTGTGACTGAGGTCCTTATGCAAAGGTGGAATCTGGACAGATGTGCATAGAGGGGGCCGCCGTGTAAAGACAGGACAGAGATGGGGGTGCTGCATCTACGAGGAGCACCCAGGGTCACCACACCGCAGGTCCTGGGGGACAGGCTGGGGACAGATGCTGCCCCCGCTTCCAGGAGGACCAACCCTGCAAGACCTTGACCTTGAATTTCTGGCCTCCAGGACTAAGGGAGAAGTTGGTTAAGCCACCCAGTCGGTGGTACTTTGTCACAGCAGCTCTTAGGACAGCAACACAAGCTGCAACCCTAATTTGGTACTTAAGAAAGGGATGGCCTGAATTAATACTTCCTGTGGTCCAAAAAGCCTGGAGCTGAGCCCTAAGGCATGATTCTGGGCTGTTGGGACTCCTGGTTCAAAGGAGAAGGAAATGAAAACGGTCTCTAGAAGAAGCCACTTTCCATTTCAGCCCAATCCCCGGAGGGAAGAAAGGATCCAAGAAATAGTCATACATTGTCAAAAAGCACAGATCACGAAAGCAAAGGAGACAGCATGTGTGCAGGCAGCAAAAGCCCCAGGCTGCAGAATCAAATCCACAGGAACAGCATGGGAAGGATGCGT